ATTGGAGGCCAGTGTCAGGATTTGACCACACCCATTTTGATTCTGGGGCCAAAAGTGGCCATATTTGAACAGAAGGTGGAGCGCTAAGTTATCACCTGTAACGCTAACAGAAACTCCAGTAGGTCAGGTTCATCACCGTCATGTGTGTAATCCTTGTCACCTTTATTTCCATACATGGTCATTTGTTACAATAGTGGAAATCCATAATAAATAAGCACCATAGATGATCAGCAGAGCAATAACAAACATTTAACCTTCGTCATGAGACATACATAGGAGAAAAGTAAAAGGCTGTTGGAATCAAAGAGTTAGACCAGCGTGTACATGTGCAAATGAAGTCAATATAACAACACTGTATTTTAGCTCTTTAAAAAATGGTCACATTGCCCAACCAAAAGCACGCTTTCACATATAATTGTACTGCCTAAGGGGCCCTTCGGGGATTGACTGTTACTAGTTACACCTCTCGATGTTCTGATTAACGGTAAGATGCTGAAGATAACGTCCTCACAAAACTCAGTAGTACTCACTCATCTTGGGAGCAGACATTTGAGTGTTACAGTGAGTTTGATACTTTCTCTATTGTTTACAATTTTCTATCGGGCTGGTTTGATCAACGACACATTACATTCACTATAAAGATACATTCTTAATGCAAAACTTCCATTCAATTCACAATTCACTTTCACAAGAATTGGCACCTTCGAGGGACTCATCAGCATCAGCAGTTTATTCCATATGTCTTTCAAAAAAAGCTATTATGGAGAAGTATATGCACCACATCTGTGGACAAGCAAGCAACACTTAATTTTTCCTAGTTCAGAACACTTCCCTGAAGGCACAACCAGGAAACTCCATTGTTTCTTTGAGGGCAGTGTTCAGCTTCGTTTGCCAAAATCAACATGGCTTCCAGGCAGGCCATTCTGATCTCTCGTGAGCGAACTGAGGCGGTCTAGCTTTGGTATTTTACTGTGTACTGTAAATGGCCTTCATGTACTGAGGCACATATCCCGTGTGCTAAGCTGAAAAGAACCTGTTATATTATCTGTACATTAAAGGTATGTTGACATCAGTGAGGATCAGAGCGAACCAAAGATTGAGGCTTCGCCATCAAATGAGTTCGGGAACCATGTCGATGGTGACGAGAGGCACTGGAAGGGCCTGAGGATAAAGAAGAGCTATGGCAGAAGTCCCATCTGTTAATGCGTTTGCTTTTTTTCCCCCTCTGAAAAGAAACTGTTTGGAAAGAGTCGTTTTCTTAAACCTGCCTTTGTGTTGCAATATACAAATTGAACCTGCTAAAGCTACCACTGTAGTTAAGGAGTCAGTTTACCCAAATAGTACAAAATACTCGTAATTAGAAGTTATAAGCTACTCAAAAACTTTCATTTGCCCAGATTTGAAGATATACAGTACATGAATGGGATTTTGGCTAGCACTAACCTAGTATAATTTCAGTGTCTGGTGTTTAAAAGATTAAAATGATATTTAAAAAGGGTCAATTTGTAAAAGTTAAGTTCTTTTTTAGAAACTAACATTTTCAAATTCTGAAACAGAAAAGCGTTTGCTAGCTTCCTCTACAGCCTAAACTGACCCTGCAGTATAAGACACTGTTTGACATTTTGGGAA